GTTGCTGCATTTCTTCCAGTCTACATCTACCCTATTATGTACCTATTTCCTAGTTAAAATACTGGGTTGCTTCCACCTCCATGCTATCATGGGAAGAGCTGGATGAACACTTGTGCTAGTATATATGTTCCTGGTAATAATCAACATGACATTTTTTTCTAGGACATATACCCAAGAAATGAGATCTTGGGATTATAGGACACAGTTTCAAGTGTACAGTTTCTTATCTTCACTAATATTTGTAGGTTGCATACCAGAACAGTTAAGAGTTCACACCTCCACATCCTATGCATAAAAGATCAGTGTCCCCACATATTTTGCCAAGACTTGCTACCAGCCACCTCTTAAATTTGTCATGCTGGTAAATCTATTAACTTTTGGGCTTAAGTTCTATTTTGATTTTATCTTTTGAAATTTTTAGTTTTATTGAGGTATAATTTTCAAATAAAATTGTAAGATATGTAAATGTACATTGTAATGATTTTGTTTTGTATTTTTGCATCTTGTACTGTCACCCAACCCAACTCACAAAGGTATTTTCTTCCAGTAGCTTCATAGTTTTACTTTTCCATTTATATCTTTTAAGCCATTTGAAGTTTACCTGTGTAGTTAGTGCATAGTAAGGATCTAACTTAGTTTTTTTTATTTAAACCTTTATTGTTGAGAGTATTATAGATGTCCTCCTTTATCCCCCCATTGCCCATCCCCACCAGTTCCTGCCCCACCTTAAGCCTTCACCACCCTATTGTCTGTGTCCATAGGTAATGCATATATGGATATAAATTCTTTGGTTAATCTCTTCCCACCCTCCCCTCCCCATTCCCTCTGGGTTTCGTCAATCTGTTCTAAGTTGTCATGCCTCTGGTTCTATTTTATTTATCAGTTTATTTTGTACATTAGATTCCTTGTTCATTTATTTTGATTTTTATATTCAACAAGAGGCCTGTTGCACAAATATCATGCAAAAATAGGCCTTTCTTCCCCTGGCTTCACTCCCAGCCACCCAGGAGCTGGCAAGTCCCTGGGAGCCAGCAAGTCCTTGTTTCTGTGGGGAGCACAACTCCAGTAGTTCCCTCTGGGCCCCCTCCCTCCCCATAGCAGGCATCACGCCCCTCCCAGCCTTTCCACGCCTCCATATGCAAATTAACCTCCATCTTTATTGGCTTAATTTGCATATTCATCTGATTGGCTGTGGGCCTATCAGAGTGATGGTTTATTTGCATGTTTCTCTTTTATTAGGTAAGATTGTTGATAGATATGTATTTGTTGCCATTTTATTGTTCAAACTATAGGCCCAGTGCATGAATTTCATGCATGGGGGGCGGGGGGTCCCTCAGCCCAATTTGCACCCTCTCCAATCTGGGAGCCCTCAGGGGATGTCTAATTGGGATCAGGCCTAAAATGGCAGTTGGACATCCCTCTCAAAATCCAGGATCTCTGACTCCTAACTGCTCACCTGCCTGTCTGCCCTAAACATTCTGCCTGCTGGCCTGATCCCCCTAACTGCCCTCCCATGCTGGCCTGTTTCCCTTAACTGCCCTCCCCTGCCAGGCTGGTTGCCCCTATTAACTTTTTTTTTTTTTTTTTTAAGTCTTATCCCCTTCACACACAATTGTATTTGACTTCTTTTTTATTTTATTTTATTTTTAAAATATAATTTTTATTGATTTTTTTACAGAGAGGAAGGGAGAGGGATAGAGAGAGAAACATTGAGCAGCTGCCTCTTGCACACCCCCTACTGGGGATGTGCCCGCAGCCAATTTACATGCCCTTGACCAGAATCGAACCTGGGACCTTTCAGTCCACAGACCAACGCTCTATCCACTGAGCCAAATAAGTTTCGGCTGTATTGACTTCTTTATTGGCTTCTCCCTCTCACACAATCTTCCTCTTTCCTTTATGTAACATTTTTTCCTACTGACTCATCACTTATAAACTCTTCTTTCCTTCTTATTTCCTACTCCTGTTCCATCATTCTTCTTCCCATCTTTCTCCTACCCTCCCTCCCCACATTCCTTCTTTCCTTTATCTTTCCCCCGGCGATTCCTCCCCTTTTCCTTCCTTCCCACATTAATTTTTTTCTTCACGTCCTCCCTCGGACCTGCTTTGCTCCCTCTCCCATTTCTTCTTTCTTCCCATTCTCCTTTTAAGCTCTACCAGCTCCCCTTTAAAACTTTTCTTCCCTCCCTCTTTCTCTCTCATTCTACCTTTCCCATACGCTCTTCTCTACTTACTTCCACTGTTTTAATATCTACTTACCTGCCTAATTATTCACTATCATTTATCTTTTTTCTTTTCTGAGTCCTACTTTTAAAATCTGTCCCCAGTACACAACTACACTTGCTTTTCATTATAGCTCCTACAGTTCACACACGTCCTCTTTCCTTCTTTAACTCTGCTCTCTAAAGACTCCTTTATAAAGTTATTCCCTCCCCCCTTCCCTTCTTAAAGCTTCTTTTCGGGGGGGGGGGAGCGTTAACCCCCAGCATAGGGCTCAGCTCAGCCAGGTGTTTGCCGTCCCCTCTTCCCAGCCTCCCTACTGCTGTCCTGCTCCTATTCCTGGGATGCTCAGCCCAGCAAGGGTGGCCGAGGCCCCGCAGCCTGGACGCTGCTGCCACAAAGCAAGATTACCTCCACCCAGAAGGCCTCAGACCATCCTCCACTCGGTCCCGGACCCCTGGGCGCCTCCCCGCCAAGGGCCACCACCACCCTCCTCCCACGTCTGGGCTGGGCTCCAGCTCCACCCCGCTTCTTTCCCTTTTCCATTCCTGCGTCTTTTTCTTGTTCCTTTTCTGTATTTCTGTTTCTCCTCTCAGCCTGTCTGCATGCAGGCCTGCCTTCCTCTCCCTTTCCTTTCTTATCCCCTCCCGTCGAATTCTATTCTATCCTGGGCCTTGCAGCTGCCTGAGCAGCCTGCTGGTCCAGTCATGACATGATGCTGTAATGGACAAATTTGCATATTCCTCAATTATTAGATTTTTTACTAGAGGCCCAGTGCATGAAATTCATGCACGGGTAGGATCCCTAGGCCTGGCCAGCGATCAGGGCCAACCAGGGCCTTCCTTCCCCCGGCTGCTGGCTGCTGGCCAGGACCTTCTTTCATTCCAGGTCGCCCCCTGGTGGTCAGTGCACATCATAGCAAGTTGTCGAACTTCTGGTTGGTTGAACTCCCGATGGGACAATTTGCATATTAGCCTTTTATTATATAGGATTCTTCTTTACTCTTCAACATTTCAGGTAATATTGGTTTGATGGTAATGAACTCCTTCAGCCTTTTCTTTTCTGTGAAGCTCTTTATCTGACCTTCAGTTCTAAATGATAGCTTTGTTGTGTAGCGTAATCTTGGTTGTAGGTCTGTGGAGAGCAGCTACAACATTCAGACAGGATCAATCCTCAGACTGACTTGTGGCAAAGCCATAAACAAGTCCCAGCTTGGAAGGCAAAGCCCTCCCAGCACAATTATAGCCAAAGGCTACTGGTTGTAAGCTTGACCTTATAGTCTGACCCTGCAGTCCTTGTTATCTAAGGGATGTGGGCTATGGAGGTACAGCAAGTGCTGCCTAAACAAAGCTTGATGGAGTTCAGAGAATGGCAACAACAGGAAAGAAGCAGATTTGAAACTCACAAGAACATTGTAAACATCTTGCCCTTGTTTTGTTTTGTGTGATCTGACTATAAAATAAAGCTTTGGTTTACAGGCTGTGTCACTGTTTCCTCATCCAGACACATTGATCCACCTGGTCTCAACCTATGCTCTTGTCTGTCTTCTTTAATCTTTCACTGTCCCCCCTCAGGCTCACTCCTGGCCGTGCTGGACACGGTTCAATATGTCCTTGCTATTCATCACTTTGAATATTTCAATTTTTCTTAATATTGTGAACCATTGTATTAACAATTTGTCCTTTCCTCATTAAAATGGGTTTGCCACCTTTGTGGTGCTGTAGTTTTCATATGTTGAGTTCTATGTATCTGGGTCTATTTCTGAGCTTTCTATCCTTTCTAGTTGTTATTTGTTCTTGTGCTGCTGCTATTGTTTTTTGTTTGTTTGTTTTTTAATATCTACGGTGTGATTGATCTTAAGAATTGGTATTATTATCCTCTGTAAATTTTCTTTTTCAAAATTGGCTTATCTTTTCATGGGCTAATATTCCAAATACATTTTAGAATGAATTTGTCAAGTTTCTTTTAAAAAATTCCAGCTAACATTTTAAAATATTTGAATTTATAGATTAACTTGGGAAGAACTGACATATTTCCTACGCTGTCTTATCTAAGAATATAACTTAAAATCTTCCTTTATGTGTCCTTTAATAGAGTTTTAAAATGTTAGGGTAAAGTATTGTGGATTAATTATTAAATATTTTATAATTTCTGATGCTATTATGAATGGTACTTTGCCATTTCTAGTACATTATTGCTAGTATAGAGAAACATTTGTTTTTCTGAAGAAATTTTAAACATAAGTTTAACTTTATCAAGTGTTTTAGTCTGAAACTTGTGGAATGATCATGTGATTTTCTCCTTTAGTGCATAAATATGATCAATAACTGATAAATTTCTCATGTTAAGCCATTCTTGCATTCCTAGAAGAAAATCTTGACTGTTGAATTCAGTTGAATAATTTTATTTGAATCTATTTTTCTAATCTATTTTTATCAATAATATGGGTTATGATTCTTCTTGTACTTTGGAATAAATAATTAGGCAGCTTTTCTTGTTTGTTTGTTTTTCTATTTTCTGAAACAATTTAATTGATAGTGATTATCTGTACCTTGAAGGCTTGGTAAAACTGTATAATCATATAAGACTAAGGCTTTTTATCTGAAGGTAAAGTCTTCATTTACCATTCAATTTATTTATAGGTATTTGGTCTGTTCATATTTTTTATTTCTTCTACCAATTTTGGCATTTTATAATTTTCCAAAAATCATCTATTTCATCTAATTTATTAACTTAAGTATTTATTAATTTAAGCCTAACTGTTCTTTTCTTCTTTTTAAAAAATATATATCTTATTGATTTTAGAGAAGAAGAAAGAGGGAGAGATAGAAACATCAATGAAGAAAATCATTGATTGGCTGCCTCCTACATGACCCCTACTAGGGACCGAGCCTGCCATCTAGGCATGTGCCCTTGAACAGAATCGAACCTGGGACCCTTTAGTTGACGCTCTATCCATTGAGCCAAACCAGTGAGGACCTAAATATTCTTATCTATCTCTGTTGTATCTGTAATGAGTGCCCTTGATTTCATTAAGGTCTAGATATAGTATATTATCTATTTAAGAGACACAATTAAAATGAAAAAATATGGCCAAGTTGAAAATAAAGAGCTATTATTCGAGGCTAATATGAACAGAAACTAAAAAACTAAACACCCCCTCCTCTACCCCAGAAACCATAGGTAACTATTTTATATAAGGAAAATTCAAGCTACAAATTCAAGGCAAAACTATTATCAGGAACAAAGCAAAGGAATAGGCTTGGTGGTATAGACTATCAGAACTTCAGCCAAGTGGAGGTATAAAGTAGATAGATATATAAGACTAGAATTCAGGGGCAAAGTTCAGAGGCAAAGTCAAAGCTAGATATAAATTTGTGGTCATCAGCATATATATGGTATTTGAAGCCATAACAGTGAGTGAGACCATATAAAGGAGAATAGACAGGAAACACAATCTGAGGAGTAAACTCTGAGCCACTGTAACATTTTGAGGTCAGGGAGATTAAGAGAAACAAGTAAAAAAATATAAAAGTGTCCAGAAAGGTAGGAGGCAAATCAGGAGAACAGGATGTCTTGGAATCCATTTGAAAAAAATTCTTTCAAAGAGAATGATCAGCAGTTCAAATGTTGCTGATTTGTCAAGTAAGAAGAGGCTGAAGATATAAATGGTTGGATGTAACAATGTGGAGGTTGTTGATGACCTTGCTAGAAGCAAGTTTGATGATGGAGTAGGGGGAAAGACTTGATTAGAGTTGGTTCAGGAGAGAAGAGAAATTGGAGATGGTGAATTTACACAATTTTTGAAAGGACTTTTGTTGGGAAAAGGAGAGAAATAGAGCAGTAACTGGCAGAGGAAATGAGTGTAAAAGAGTTGTTTGCTTTACTTTTCAAAGTTCACATAAATAACATGAAGGTAGAAAGTGGGGGAGGAGGGATGATGGTACAAGAGAGATTGGGAGAATTATTGAAGCATTGTCCTTGAAGAGAGGAAATGGAACCTAATCTATAAGCGGAAGGGCCAGCATTAGATAGTAGTCAGATAGTTCATCCTCAGGTAATAAGAGAGAAAGTAGAATATGTGGGTAAAAATGCAGTTAGTTAGGGAGATATGGTGCTAGAAGTATGTGGAGTTAATGAGTTCTTCCATTTTCTTAGTGCAATAAGAAGCTAGTTCATCAACAACAACAAAAAGAAAAGAAAAAAGAGGAAAGAGAAGGTCTCAGAGATTTTAAGAGATAGGAGAAAATACAAAATTGTTGTTCAGGAAAGTCAGAGTGAATGGATTAGGGAGATTTAGAATGTTTGCCAGGCAGCCTTATGAGGCCACTCAAGGTTAATAATTATTTAAAATAATACCAGTTAACAAGTTTGAATGTTTTCCCAAAGCTACATTTAGCTGCCAGGATACAGCTATAGAATAGGCAGAGAAAATTGGATTTAAACTGGTCTGTGGTTAGACAGAGCAAGAGAGGAACAAGTGAATTAGAGTTGAGAACATATGCTAGGGATGGATTATAATTATTGACCATGGAATTTATACTGGGTTACAAAAGAAATGAGGACGTGAAGAGATGGGGGAGAGTAAAAAGATGGTAGAACCAATGAAGTAGTTTCCTGTGGAGATCAAAGGATTGTTGGGATTGGGTTACTAGTGGAAATGAGGTATAAAGAGGTGATGTTTGAAGAATAAGTTGTTTGAAATTAAGATTATAGAAGAGCTATAGGGTGGGTTTTTTTGTATTTTTTTGTTTGTTTGTTTGTTTTTTGTAATGACAAGTTCAAGGGTATGGCTCCTGGCTAAAGGATGAAATCACTGAAGGAGAACAGATCAAAACATTGCGCTGCCAGGTGTTGGAAAGATCTATGTGACTACTGAAATTGTTAGAGGTTATGACAGTATTGGATAGAGTGACAGTGAGTAAGGAGTTGGTAAATAACTAGAACAGAGAACACAATAGGGGTGTATAGTCTAAAGACAAGAAACTTTAAATTGAATATTATTATATGTAATGTAATATATAATATTTTATATAGTACTATATAACAAGAGTAGGGGAGAATGATCTGGAAATAGCTTTGAGGAATGAGAAAGACCCCCCCCCACACACACACCTCATTTTCAGTCCAAGTGACAGAGGGGGATGGGGAAGTTAAAATAGACATTGGGTGAAAGATCTGCAGATGAGGCAGTATTATCAGGAGAGAGCCAGGGGTCATTTATTTTAGAGAGAGTGGAAGAAAGCGGGAAGGAGAGAAACATTGATGTGAGAGAGACACATCAATTGGTTGCCTCCCACAAGCACCCTAACCTGGGCTGAGGAATCTGAGACTGGAAATAAACTTGCAAGCCAGTGACATGCCTTCAACTGGGAACTGAACCTGCGACCTTTTGTTGGGTAGGCCAAAGCACTACCACTGAGCCACATGGCCAGGGCTATACATCATATATTCTTTTTCACACACACACACACACACACACACACACACACACACACACACGAGACCCAGTGCATGAAAATTCATGCACTGGAGTGGGGAGTCCCTCAGCCCGGCCTGCCCCCTCTCACAATCCGGGAGCCCTCAGAGGCAGGAGGCCATCCCCATCACACCTCTGCTGCTGCTACTGCCAGCAGCACAAGCCTCTGCCAGCCCTGGTTACCTGAGCCTTGGGCAGTGCTGGGCAGCCTCCATCTGAGGCTTGCCTGCACCTTGGGCCAACCCTGCGTGACTGGGGGGCTGAGGGGACTGGAAGATTCTGGAGGCAGGTGCATAGAGCAGCTGGGCCTGCTGGGAGCAGTCCTGTCCTTGTCACACGCCTGCTGCCCTGGTGGGGCTGAGAGGACTGGGCACTGTCATCTTGTGGTTGTGGGCACCACCATCTTTGAGGGCGGGGCAATTAGCATATTCCCTTCTTATTGGCTGTGGGCACTGCCATCTTTATGACAGCATGAGGGTCAATTAGCATATTCTCTATTAGATAGAACACACACACACACACACACACACACTCTAGAGGCCCAGTGCACAAATTCATGCACCAGTGGGATCCCTCATCCTAGCCTGTGGGAACCAGCCAAAACTGGCTCTCCAACATCTCCCTAGGGATCCTGGATTGCAAGAGGGTGAAGGCCAGGCTGAGGGACCCTACTGATGCATAATCGGTGCCTGGGAGGGATGCGAGATGATGGCCATCTGGGGAGGGACCGCAGGAGGGCTCCAGGGTGTGTCCAGCCTGTCTTACCCAGTCTTAATCTGCTGGACCCCAGCAGCAACCTAATCTACCAGTCAGAGTGTCTTCCCCCTGGTGGTCAGTGCATATCATAATAGCAGTTGAGTGGCCTTAGCATATCATAGCATATTATGCTTTGATTGGTTGAACAGCTGACTGGTCAACCAAACACTTAGCATATTAAGCTTTTATTATATAGGATTTTTATTCCAGAGAAGAAGGGAAAGGGAGAGATAGAAACATCAATAATGAGAGAGAATAATTGACTGGCTGCCTCCTGCACACCCTTTACAACCCAGTATGTGCCCTTGACTGGAATCAAACACAGGACTCTTCAGTCCACGGCCAATGCTCTGTCCACTGAGCCAGGCCAGCTAGGGCTCATATGTTCTTAATTTACTGTCTCCCTTTGCCCATAATGATGGATATTAGATTTCTGCTTGGCTTTCTTTTGATTTATAGTTGCTTTTTTTCATTTCTTTAATTTAATCCTATCCTTTCTTTTAATGTGTCCCTTGTAGACATTATCTTGCTAGACCTTGTTTTTTAATACAATCTGAGAATTCTGTCTTTTCTTTGGTGAATTTGACTAATATATTAAATTCCTTTTATGTTTGTTAAGACTGTTAAATCCATCTTAGTTGATATATATTTAATCATCACCTGAGGATGTTTTTCCATAGATTTTTAAAAAGAATGGGAGATAGGTATGGGGTGGGGGCAGAGAGAGAGAGAGAAGCAGCTATATGAAAGAGAAACATCGATTGTTTGCCTCCTGCACATACCCTGATCCTGGCCAGGGATCGAGCCTGCAACTGAATTGAACCCATGACCCTTTGGTCTGAAAGCCAACACTCTAACCACTAAGCAAAACCGGCTAGGGCTAATTCCATCTTAGTTTAGCTTTTCCTCATTTTTCTGTTTGCTCACTCATTTCCTTGAATAAATCAATTTTTCTATGGGTTTGAAAGGCTTTCATTTTATATTTCTTCTTCCATTGGTTATCCATAACTTGTTAAGATGCTTGTATTTATTTTGCCCAATTTATAGGACTTATCAACACCTATTCGTATCCCCCTTACTGGGACAAATACTTCAAACACTCTTACCTACCTCTAGATGTTGCACTTTATCTCCTACTTTGTTATATCATCTTCCCTTTATTTACTTTTTTCTCTTTTATTAAAACACCTATTATATAAATGGTATTATTTCTATGTCTACCATCCATATTTCTTCATTCTTATATTTTCTTTTATATATTTTATTTCAGAGAAGAATGGAGAGGGAGAAAGAGATAGAAACATCAATGATGAGAGAGAATAGTTGACCAACTGCTTCCAACATACCCCACACTGGGGATTGAGCCCACAGCCCGGGCATGTGACCTCATTTCATAGGTTGACATTCAACCACTAAGCCAAGCCAGTCAAACCATTCTTATATTTTCCACCTGTTATTTCTTCTCAATGTCTTCTGGAAAAGTTTCTTGACCTGATCTTAAGCTATGTCCATTTTGCTCTTTATATAACCTAGTGAGTTTATTTCAACTGTATTTTTTATATTTCAGTAATCCTACTTGGTTCTTTATTATTGTTTCCACTTCATTAGCAATGTCCTGTTTGGTGACATTTATTTGGCTTGTATTCTATTAATTCTTGTCATCTATTGTATAATTGGTTTTTCAGTTTATTGCCTTTGTAACTGTATAGTTATTTTTCCCTATGAGATATTTTCCCTCAGGGTTTTCCATTCATTATCTTGCTGGATAGTGGAGAAAAGAGGAGGAGATCAAAACTTAGCTGTGCCACTCCTGATGAGTGGAGGGTCTAACTCTTATATCATCATGTGTGTCACTAACATCAGAAGGCTTTGCCCCTTAGTGAACCTCTGTATACCTTCTTTTGGGCTTTGTTCTCTTCTAAAAATGTGTTTGTCTAGCTCCCTGGGTGAAAAAGGCCTCTATGAGAAGGTAGGAGGAAACCCTTAGATGTTTGTTGGTTGAACCAGCACTTACTGTTTTTTTTTAATCCTACATCTTTTTTTTATTATTATTATTTTAATTTTATTGATTTTTGTACATAGAGGAAGGGAGAGAGAGAGAGAGAGTTAGAAACATCGATGAGAGAGAGTCATCGATCAGCTGCCTCTTGCACACCCCCTACTGGGGATGTGCCCGCAACCAAGGCACATGCCCTTGACCGGAATCGAACCTGGGACCCTTCAGTCCCCAAGCCGACGCTCTATCCATTGTGCCAAACCGATCTTGGCTAATCCTACATCTTAATAGTGTTCCCCTACAAACTTGTTTTCAGTGGGAAAGGCAGTGATCTACGGTGGGCAATGTGGTGTATAGAAAAGAACTCAGCTCAAAATTTCTCTCCAAGTCTACTCTCTATGTTGGGAGTCTGGTCCTATTCCCCTTCTTTACCAAATCATAACCACCTCTGACCCTTCAGGGGTTTCTGCTGGTTTTCTTTTCTTTTAATACCATTCATTTTTTATTTCTGAGACTTTTTTTGTGACACTTTGCAATCATGTCAAGGGCTGAATGATATCCTTTTAATGACAGTCTACTCCAGTGTTTATTGAAGCTTTGTATTTCTAATAATATAGAGCTAAAGATTTTTTTCTTCTTGAGTGATCATGGTAGTATTCTGGAAATGAAGATATTTAACCTGAATGACTGATAGGCAGAATGTAAATGCAAAGGATAAACAAAGTAATGTATGTAGGTGAAAGAAAGCAAAATAATCATTTTACCAAAACATTGAACTTTACTTTCAACATGCTTGTTTAATTTTACAGTCGTCTGCGATTCTTGTTAAACCTGGAAACAAGACAAGATAATCTTATTACAAACTTCTCTTAAATACATTTATGAGAATATAGATGATTCATAGGGAAAATAAGAATGCCCCAGAACTAGTTAAACTAGTAACATTAACATGGCAAAATGTCTCCCAGGACCAAAATCAGGAAGATCAGGGCTTGGCAATACCTTTTTATTTATTAGACTTCCTACCAGTCTCAATGTGCTATCTCCTCTAGTTGTAGAATTTTCATTCAGCCAGATTTCAGATAGTTTTGAATGATGGTTGTTCTGTATTTTAGTTGTAAATTTAATGTGGTCGTGGGAGGCGGCAAGTACTGGAATTTACCTACACCATGTAAGTCAAACTCAAAGGCTAACACAGGCCAAATAAATGAGGCATTCAGTCTCAGAGCCACGGGTTTGACATGCTTGACCTATACCATCATATTGGTTCTCTTTTCTTTCTTTAAAAAAAAAATGTGTTTAATTTATGCTTGGTATTCCATATGCAAATATTTCATTTTGTTGTTAATCCTCATTTGAGGATATTTTTTTCTATCAATTTTTATTTGCTTCAAAAAATTTTAAGTTATTTTTTTAAAAATATGTTTTTATTGATTTCAGAAAGAGGGAGAGGGGGAAGAGGATAGAAACAGTAATAATGAGAGAGAATCATTGATCGTTGCCTTCCGCACATGCCCTAATGGAAATGGAGCCTGCAATCTGGGCATGTGCCCTGACTGGGAATTGAACTGTGATCTTCTGGTTCATGGATTGATGCTCAACCACTGGGCTTTTCCATTGATTTTTAGGAGGGAGAGAGAGAGAAACATCGATGTGAGAGAGAAACATGGATGTGAGAGAGAGACACCGATTGGCTGCCTCCTGCACGCATCCTGTCTGACACGTGTTATTAAGGCAAAACAAGGATTATTGATGCTGTCTACCATGCATCCAACTATGAACTGGTCCACACCAATATCCTAGTAAAGAATTACATCGTGCTCATTGACAGCACCCCATACCCATTATGCACTACCCCTGGGCCACAAGAAGGGGGCCGGGCTGACTCCTGAGGAGGAAGAGATTTTGAACAAAAATGATCAAAGAGCCCTAACCGGTGTGGCACAGTGGATAGAACATTGGCCTGCAGACTAAAAGGTCCCAGGTTCAATTCCGGTCAAGGGCATGTACCTTGGTTTCAGGCACATCCCCAGTAGGAGGTATGCAGGAGGCAGCTGATTGATGTTTCTTTCTCATTGATATTTCTTTTTCTGTCCCTCTCCCTTCCTCTCTGTAAAAAAAAAAAATCAATAAAATATAAATATTTAAAAATTATCAAAGGAAATTCATTAGAAATAATGATGAAAGGAAAAATAATGGCAAAGTTAGCAGTATCCTAGAGGAACAGATCCACCAGGCAAGCTTCTTGTATGCAACTCTTTAAGACCAGGCCAATGTGTCAGAGCAAATGTCTATGCACTGGAGGAGCTGGAGTTCTAGCTGAGGAAATCAAGGCTCAGAAAGGTAAATTACTCCTTCCCACTCCTAGTTCATGTAATGAACGAAGGAAGGAAGGAAGGAAGGAAGGAAGGAAGGAAGGATGGAAGGAAGGAAGGAAGGAAGGGAGGGAGGAAGGAAGGAAGGAAGGAAGGAAGAAAAAGCTGCATACTGTGTAGCCAGCATAACTGTCCAGGTTGTTGGTACATCCTGACAGTGGAGACAAATCCAAATCACAATCTTAGGTCACAGTCATTGATAGCACATAAGTATTGATTCTGTATTTACCCGGCAACTTTCCAATTCATGGCTTGTGTCCTAAGTCTTTTTTCCCCTTCATAGGGAAAATGCTGTAACAGGTCAAGGCAAGCATCTGAACCTTTTGCTTATTTTCAAGCATGCAACCCTTCCACCCTGTAGGACCATCCCCCTTAGGGAAATGAAGGATTATGACACATCACACTAAGTATCAGCTTTCTCCACCTATATTTTAAACAAGATTTGAATAGTGAAAGACAGTATGCACGTGTATATGCTTATGTGTGACACCAAGTAACAGTCACAGAGACATAGGGTAAATTTCAGAGAAATGGCAGATCCCATCATTCTGACCCTAATATTTGTCTACCATTTGGTAAGATTTTTCACATCAGATAGTTTTTACCTCAGTGGAAGAAAAATATTTAAGCAATTTAGCTTAAGGTTAAGTTTCATATCTACAGTATCTATAATAATAAAAGTGTAATATACTAATTAGACTGGATGACCTTCCAGATGAAGCCGTGCTGGCAGGGGCTGAGCCCCTTGCACGAATTTCGAGCACTGGGCCTCTAGTGGTGAATATAACTTGTTTGAAAGTCTGGTTCTGCCTCAGCTTCCTATTCTCTAAAATGCTTGCTCTGTTTACCTCACCAGGATGGCTGTGAGGTTAAATTTGACAATAGAATCAGGGTGAAAAGCACCACACAATTGTGAAGTGTTACTATTATTACTATTATTTAACAGGGAGAAAAATTCTTATTTTTCTCAATAAGAATTCCAGCACATATTCTACAACTTCCAAAGCTTTCTTTTTCTCTAAGAGAGTCCTGTTGAAAACTGTTCTTTGATATCTTTTGTAATTCCTCAGTATTTCCTCACCCCCTGCTTTGATTATTACCTCTTTGGGGACAAAAACATAGACTTATCCATTCATCATTAAACTCTTTTGAATATTTCTAATGGGCCAGGCAAAGTGTCAGACCTCTGATGATACAATGAGACAGATGCATAAACAAATAATTATAATATGTGGGAAAATATAGTGATCGAGTAATAACTTTAGGATATTATGGGAGTATGGAGAGCTGACAGCCAAAGGCAATAGGCAAAGGGTTTCCTGAGGGAAAAAATATAAACTGAATAAACCAGTAGTACTTATGGCTGCAAGGAGCAGAATCCCTGGCTAAGGATGGTTGAAGCTATAAGACCATTTATTACTTTAAAAGCCCAGAAACAAATGGGCGTATCTAACAACTGAATGTCATCTAGGACAGGTTTTTACTTATCTCTTTTTTCTGTAATTCTTGGCGTATTTTCTTTTTGTCCTGTGCTTATCAACTCATTGTTGCCAAAGATGGCAGTAACTCCAAGCACCATATAACACATCAAGGCAGAAAGAGAAATTTTAGTTCTAGTCACCCCTGTTTGAAACAAGAAGGAAGGGAACTGGGGAGTAGGAAGGTTTTCATTTCATATGGTTTTTATTTTGTAGGAGATAAAGCAGAAGCAGCCATACACTATTGGCCCTGGATCTTTGTACATATTGTTCCTTTTGCCTGGCAACCATGGTCTCTTGAAACCTTCCCAGTTACTGTATCTCAGTACCTAGTTATAGTACCCTGCACATAGATAGTAGTTAGCAAATGTTCTTGAAAGGAAAGCAGGCAGAACAAAAGTAGAGACTATTGAACACAACAAGCAAGTAATCTCCCAAAAATGTGGTCTCAAAGCAGGGGAGTAACAGGGCCAGTATAATACAGAATGGTAAGCCCTGGCCAGTGCAGTCAGTGGTTAGAGCATTGGACTGGGCATTGAAGGGTTTCGGGTTGGATTCCCTGTCAAGGGCACATACCTGAGTGTGGGTTCATTCCCCAACCCCAGTTGGGGCACATGTGGGAAGCAACCAGTCAATATGTCTCTCTCACATCGACATTTCTCTCTCTTCTCCTCCCACCCTCCTCCCTTTCATTCTCTCTGAAAGCAATGGATAAAATATCCTCAGGTGAGGATTAACAAGAACAAAAGAATGTTAAGCCCTGGCCAGTGTGGCTCAGTTGGTTGGGTGGGTGTCATCTTGTGAACCTAAAGGTTGTTGGTTTGATTCAGTCAGGGAATGTGCCCAGGTTGCAAGCTGGACCCCCAGTTGGGGGCGTGCGAGAGGAAGCTGGTCATGTTCCACTCTCACGTCGATGTTTCTCTCCTTCTCCCTTCCTTTCTCTTTAAAATTCAATAAATTATCTTTTAAAAAATATTTTTTTACTGATTTCAGAGAGGAAGGGAAAGGGAGAGAGAGAGAGTTAAAAACATCAACCATGAGAGAATCATTGATTGGCAGCCTCCTGCAGCCTCACACTGGGGATCAAGCCTGCAACCCGGGGATGTGCCCTGACCAGGAATCGAACCGTGACCTCCTGGTTTATAGGCTGACACTCAACCACTGAGACACGCTGGCTTGGCTTAATAAAATATCTTTAAAAAAACAACAACAACACAAAATGGTAAGTGCTAGGATATTGTTAATTACAAGATACATTGAGAGCACATAGGAGTCAGAGAAGATAGCTCAGAAAGTGTGATAGTTTAAACTGACCCCTAAAGGACAGTAGAAATAACTAAACCCAGAAGGAAAGGAAATCTTTTTTTGTACTTTAATTGACACAACATAAATTAAATATGATGCTCTTTGGGGAAGGAAGGACTCTAGTGAGAAAAAAAAGGAAGTATAAATAGTAACTGATTGTATAACATCCATTATTACTAATTTAAGATTTCTAAAAATTGATACTTCCTGTACTTATTCTATTTTAGTGAAAAATAGCAAAAATCAAAAGACTTCCATTTTCTTATAATGTCTTAATTCCCCCCCCCCCCCCCCACTGTTTTTAGCATCTCTTAACTCTGAAAGTTTTCAGGCATCTACCTCTACCTTAAAACTAATACATACACATTTTGCAATAGCTATAAAAAATGGAGGTTTTGGCACAATAGAAGAGTTGCCATATTAAATACAGGATGCCTCGTTAAACTTGAATTTCAGATAAAAAAATTAATAATTTTAAATATAAGAATACAATTGCATAGACTATACTTATAGTACTAAATCATTGGTTGTTTTTCTGAAATTTAAATTTAATTGGGTGTCCTATATTTTTATTTGCTAAATCTGGCAACCCTAATAATAGATACCAGATTCCAAAGTACTAAACTAGAATTTACAAAATAATTGACTCTTAATCTCTTACTCTGAGAGTATGAAATCAAGTGAGAATTCTGTTTAACAGAATTTGGAAAGGTGGACCCACATCAGCCACCTTCCCTATTCTTCAGTATATCCTGGGATAGAAGCACTTAATTTATCTCAAGTTGGGCCCAGATATGACAGCTGCATTTAAGGTATGTTACTGAACCAGGAGGTGGGCAGAAGCATGCTACTATGGTTTTTCTGGTACTTTCAATAATAAAATCCCAATAATAAAGGGTGGAATTCAAAGTGGGCTGATCTAGTGTTAGATTAGGTTTTGTGGTGTTATAACTGGTTGCTTCGTTTATATTATTCCATAGTGACATCTGCAGGCCTCCAGAGAAAAACACGAATACTTTTGGTAACTCCTAGGTGCTGTAAGAGAAAGTTAAGTTGGGTGGGGAGGAGGGAGAGAGGTATTTGACCAAAGCCCAATTATCAGAATGCTTCCAGTCCTTAACTTACTGTGATTGAATGGATGCAAGAGATTTTCTGAAGGTAGACTGAACATCTAACTGGAGCAGCATGGGAATAGGTGGGTACCCACCCAGCTGGGCCCACAGTGAACGTATTGATGATGTCTTCTCAGTTATTGGGTAGCTTGAAGCGGACTGATCAGCATTCCAGATAGCTTCCATCTGATCTTGTTTTCTAGAGAGTCAGAGAGCACTAATTGAAAGCTCCAAACTCTCCTGTGCTCCATAGGCAATCAAAAGCTATGATTCTTATTCTCCCCTCTTTTCTTCACCACCACATCACCCCGTCCTCTAAGGCCCTTCCTCACACTGAGAACATTAGTCACGCCCACTTTGACTGAGAAATGAATTAAAACAACAAGATTTGCTGAAATTTCCCACCTCCCCCCCCAAAAGCTGCATTTCCATGGTTTTACCTAGTAATCCATTTTAAAACTGCCTTCTTAGCTGCCTGGATTACTGTATATAGATCATATCCAGAAAATTTTTTTTCTTTTTTCCCAGCAGCAATCTTTTTCATCTTCCTTCCCAAAGCTCCTACTTTCTTCTTTTTTATTTTATTTTAAGTAATACTTCTTCACTGTGTATTAATTTGTTGCTTAGTAAGAATGGATCAGCTTCTTTTTTAAAAAGGAACTCAAAATTGGATGTTAAATATTTAAGTAGGAATATATTTAAATAAGCCTTTTGTTAAATTAGCTAAGAAAATTAATAATCCTTAGACTCTCCACTATACCATATTATAATTGTGGGGAAGGGGAAGATCTTGGGCAGGAAAAAAAGCATACCATCCAAAGAAAGTTTAATGTCAATCTTTCCTTCTACATACCTAAGTTTCTTGAATATGTCAGATTTTCTGTCCTCTTTCATTGGTAGGTCTAGGAATGGCTGTTGAATAAGTTTGATAGGGGTAGGTTTTTGCTTTTTGTCGATGAACAAAGGTACAGGTTGACTAAGCTTCAATTTATATATATCTTGGAGCTAAAAATAAATAAATAAAAAAGAAAACAATGAAAAGAAAGGGCCAGAATCTTCAGGAAGGTCTTCTGAGCTGGCCCTAGCTTACCTATGACTCTTCATTTATCATGGATTTGCAAATTCTATTTCTCCATTCTCTTTCTCCTCTTCTCCAATTACTCCTCAACCTCCACCCCACCTTCAACATAACTTCAGTGGTGGCAGCTATAAACCTGGCTCCTGCATAAGCTCTGATCTTAGCCGTTTCATTTCCTAGCTGTGTAACTTCGAGTGAGTTGCTAATTTTATCTGCACCTCATTCTCATTATTCTATGAGAAGAATAGTAACACAGGTTTGTTGTGAGAATTGTATAACATATAGGGGAGCACTTCATAAATTGTAAGAACTATGCAAATGCAATGATGAAAACATTTACTGAGTCCTTACTGAATGTCAGATGCTATCTACATAATAATTCATTTGATATTTTATTTACAACAACCTTATGAGATAGGTGCTATTATTGTCCTTATCTTATAAATAGGGGTTTGGAGTTCGGAAAATTTAAGTGGCTTGCCCATGGTCTCCTAGTTAGCATGTAGTGAAGCTCATTTGAACCCATGTAGTCTGGTAGCAGAACCAACCTCTTGACCACCACCCTGACTCAGTGAAAGGTATTTATTTCATTTCTATCCTCTTCTCTCTTTTGCTTTTTCCTCTCCCTTCGTTATGCCTTAATACCCACCTTATCATCTAGATTAGGGGTGTCGAACTCAATCAGAGAAGGGGCCAAAATCTAAAATCCAGCCTAAATCGCGGGCCGAATGGTTTACTGAACAGTCATAAACTGTCATTGTGATGGAATCGCAGCGGAGTGCAGTGATGACAGCGTGGTGCGGGCCACATTGCAAGGCCTGGCGGGACGGATTTGGCCCGCAGGCCTTGTGTTTGACACATGTGATCTAGATGAAGGTTGCCTGGACCCCAGACCCTATTCATCCTCTGACATGTGGGCCTAGATATTGTGATTCCTGTTAGACAATTCATGACACTGCCAACAGATCTTGCATTCCACTTACACTGGCCATATTTTCCAAGCAAAAAACTGTGTGTGTGTGTGTGTGTGTGTGTGTGTGTGTGTGTATTTACAAAGAGCTTTAATTCTTAAAATGTAGCCCTCCTGGAAAATTCAGAATATGTCTGATTTGAATCAGGCTATGATGAGAAGTCTCTGTACCTTCTAAAGTAGCAAGTAAACTGATCTTATTAAGTAACTAAATTAATTACTTTAGTGGAAGAAAAGGATATATAGATACAAAATGTTCCTAGGATTTCCAGAATGTTCCAGAACTTCTGCTAGAACATGTAATAGGGGCGTGTAATCCCAGAGCAAAGAGCTCTAATCTCACCTTTATAACTTCGTGGAAGGTCATCTCAGAGGGAGCTCTGGGACATAATGACTGAATTGTTAAACAGGGTCTTTTGTGCGTGGTGCTATGTAAGCAAGATAAATAAATCCTTATCTCTCTTCTTGTAAAGTCACCAAATTAAAACTTGCTTTCTGATAGTTGTGAGAAAAGGAGTAACTGTCATGAATCAGTTGGAGAGTAGTGACTTCAAGAGAAGCTAGTAGATGTGGGTTGACTAGGAATGAGTTGAACACTTCTAGAAGTCTCTCCTATTCTAACCTTTTCTCATCTAGAAAGTCCAGCCAGTATTCCTGTTGTCAATTTAGGAGTTTCACTGAAGTCACGGTGTAATTGATTGAATGGTGATGCCCCAGATATGTGCACCCAGAACCTGTGACTATGACCTTATTTAGAAAAAGGGTCTGTACAGGTGTAATTAAGTTAAGGATCTCAAGATGAGATCATCCTGGATTAAACAGGTGGGTCCTAAATTCATGACACATGACTTTGTAAAATTCAGAAGTGAAGACAGACAAGCTGGGAGAAGGGCTAAGGGAAAAACGAAAGCAGATGATAGGGATTATGCCGGTACAAGGCAAATAATTGTCTAGCTATCAGACTCTAGAAGAGAGACATGGAGTACATTTCTTAGAGCCTCCAAAAAGAACATCTTGATTCTTTCTTTATCTTGATGTCATAAACTGTCCTTCAGAACTCTAAAAGAATACATTTCTGTTGTTTTAAGCCATGAAGTTTGTTACAGTAGCCCTAGGAAACTAATATACAAGGTGTCTCCAGATGAATGTTAATTTCAAGGCTTACCACTCTCATTTTTCTTGTAATACACTGGGCCGAGGGAATAGAAAACAGATTACCTGGCTAAATAAGAGCATCATTTTCCTCAGGCACTGATTTCGGTTCTGCTCTAGAGACTTCTGCTTCCCAGTCCAGACCCCCATCATCTTTTTCTGGTAGCCATCAATTCTGTTCAGCATTATGTAAAGGTCCTGGATCTCATAACCTTTCCCACTGTTTTGGATGGCTTGTAATCTTTTGATTATATTGTTTCTGAAAAAAATTAACAAGAATTAGATTGATGTAATTACTGATCTTAAGTTAGCAAACCTGGCCTTAGTTACTTCAATTCTCATCTCATCGTTAATAAGTAGAGAGAGGTGGAATAGGGATAGGAGGCTTACTTAATAAAATCTTAATCAAGTTCCATATATGACTAAACTTTCAAAAATCTATATGACTGTCAAATTTTCATTAAACCTTCACAATTTAGTGTTATAATAGTGTTGTTTATTATTATTTTAATATATTAAAATTGTAGTATTCTTATGTACAAGACATAATTCTATATAATAAAAACCTAATATGCTAAGTGTTTGGTCATCCAGTTGTTCATTCAGCCAATCAAAGCATAATATGCTAATGATGTGCTAAGGCCACTCAACCGCTCGCTATGACATACACTGACCACCAGGGGGCAGACAGTTGACCAGTTGACCAGTCGCTATGAAATACACTGACCACCTGGGGGCAGACACTCCTACTAGTAGGTTAGCTTGCTGCTGGGGTCTGGCCATTCAAGACTGAGCCAGGCCGGATACACCCTGGAGCTCTCCTGTTGTCCCTCCCTGGCTGGTCAACCTCTCCCATCCACCTACCCCTCCTCCCTGCCCCAATCGTGCACTGGTGGGGTCCCTCAGCCTGGCCTGTGCCCCCTCCCATCTGGGACCTCTCAGGGGATGTCGGAGAGCCAGTTTTGGCCTGATCCCACAGACCATACTGAGGGACCTGCACTGGTGCACAAATTTGTGCACCGGGCCTCTAATACAATTATAAAAAAGACAGTGTTCTTGCCTTCAAAGCATTTCAAAGCCAGAATAGGAGACTAATAAGTTAACTATGTCAAAGAGAGAATGAAACAAATGTTAAATAGAAATGTAACCATGCTATTTGAGCAAAAAGAAATGCATAATTAATTATAGTAAGAGAAATAAAGAAGGCTTTATAAGAAGATGTTGAGCCCTAGCTGGTTTGGCTCGATGGATAGAGCGTCAGCCTGCAGACTCAAAGGTCCCAGGTTCGATTCCGGTCAAGGGCATGTACCTTGGTTGCAGGCACATCCCCAGTCGGGGGTGTGCAGGAGGCAGCTGATCGATGTTTCTCTCTCATCGATGTTTCTAACTCTATACCTCTCCCTTCCTCTCTGTAAAAAATCAATAAAATATTTTTTTTAAAAAGATGTTGAATAGGATCTTGAGGAATAGTCATAAAAATGTATTCTCTTTACTATAATGCATGCTACCTTTGGGTCCCCTAAAAAATAGTGTTTCACCATCCCTGTACTAGAGGAGAGGAAAGGGAATCTGAGGGGGGGGGGGGGTAGGGGGGGGGAGATTAAAGATTTTTGAAGTGATTTTTACAGAGAGAAGAAGGGAGAGAAAGAGGAGATTAGCTGCCTCCTGCATGGCCCCACTGGGGTTCAAGTCCGTGCCTGGATACTTGCCCTCACCAGGAATTAAATCAGCAACCTCTTGATGTATGGGTTGATGCTCAGTCACTGAGCCACCCCGACCGGGTTAATTGATTTTCTAAAGTCACATAAATAAATAGCATATTTGGGAAGCAAACCTAGATCTTCTCCCTTTTCAGAATACCAATATTTCTCAAAGTGTGTACTGAATCATTTGTCGGGAAAGGAGGAAATACTTGTTTAAAATACAGATTCCAAGTCTCCCCCGACCTTTTTAATCAAAATCTTGGAGTGGTCCCCCTCTCTTCCTCAGCGCTGCCTACGAAGGTGGCAGCCATCTCCTACTCGGCACCATGGCTGTCCTCAGACCCCCTCGTGAAACCCAAGATTGTCAAAAAGAGGACCAAGAAGTTCATCCGGCACCAGTCAGACCAATATGTCAAAATTAAGCGGAACTGGCGGAAACCTAGAGGCATTGACAACAGGGTGTGGAGATGATTCAAGGGCCAGATCTTGATGCCCAACATTGGTTATGGGAACAACAAGAAAACAAAGCACATGCTGCCCATTGGCTTTCGGAAGTTTCTGGTCCATAACGTCAAGGAGCTTGAAGTGCTGCTGATGTGCAATAAATCTCACTGTGCGAGATTGCTCACAACGTCTCCTCCAAGAACCGCAAAGTCATTGTGGAAAGAGCAGCCCAGCTGGCCATCAGAGTCACCAAACCCAATGCCAGGCTGCACAGCGAAGAAAATGAATAGACAGATTGTGTACACGTTGTGTTTGTGTTAATAAAATCATAAAATTCTGTCCCAAAAAAATCTTGGTGTGTAGATTTCGAGATCTATATTTTAAACAGAATCTCAAATAAAGCTTAAGCTTGGGAAGAAGGGGATAAGGAATTCCAGGTTGAAGCAATACTTAGTACAAACGTAAGAGAATGGAAGTTATATTTTGGGAGTTGTGAATAGTCTAAGACTTTTAGACCATGGATATATGAAAGGATATGGTGGGAAGGAGACTGGAATGGCTGGATTATGAAAGGCCTAAAAAGACATGTTAAAGAGTTTGGATTTTGGGGGCAGGAGTTGGCAAAGGAAATCATTGAAGATATGTTTCTGAACATAGGTGTTTTACATATATATAAACACACACAGAGAGGAAAAACAACTCTTAGGTCCCTTTTGTGGGTTATAATTAATAGCTTAGAACCTACTAAACATATGGATCATTTAATACTTAAACAGGTCAATTTTCTGAGTTAACTTAGCATATTTAATTAAATTAATTTTCCAATAGCTTTGGATGTTTTTCCATGTCCTATAGGTGATTTTTATTTTTTTCACTTTTCTAACCATCTTTATAACATGTGTTTTTAATAACTTCTCCACATTGATTATAGAATGCCTATCACATCCATTCCCATAAATAACACTGTTCTCAATAAAGCAAGTGGGTAACATTCTTATCACCACCTTTTATACTATTCAAAAATAGTTAATATTATTATATTTCATATCTTCTCTCCCATATAACATCAAGAATCTTCTTGACCTAGCTATCTTTGTTATGGAATATTTAACCTATCAATATTTTATTCCTTGTTATATCTGTTGGTGATATGATTATAATAACATTAAATATTAAATAAGAACTTTCTGAGGAAAAATGAATTGATCTTTGATGGGAGTAAAGTTATAATTGTATAAGTTGAATATTGTTACAAAATGTTGATCTATATATTTCAATTTTTAAATGATTTTACTGAAGCAAGTCAGATCATGTCACTTATGTCTTCAAAATCTCTAGTCAGGGAGAAGAGGTCAGGGGGAAATGGGAGATATCTGTAATACTATCAACAATAAAAAATATTGGAGATCCAAGATGGCTGCGCCCAGGTGAACACCTAGCCGCAGCCGCACACAACAATTTCAATAAAATACAACTAAAATATAAAACGGACATTGCCCAGAACTACAGGAAGGTTGACTGACTGGAAATTCTACAGCGAGAAGCAAGGAGAAAACCAGAAGGAGGTGCGGAGGAGCTGGAAAAGCCAAGGTACGGAGACGCGGCGCGCGGAGAGGACGGAGCCGGAGAGGAGGGAGGCCGAGTGCCTGGCGGGCGTTCCCTAGCGGAAAGGAGATAAAACTCCGACTGTGCTGGGCCCCCGACTGCTCTGATCCCCAGTTTTAAGCCAGACCCCGGGGACTCAGGCTCTGCCATAAGGAGCCGGGCTGTAAGGCGGAACCCCGGGGAGAGGCGAAAGGAGGTCCCGGAGGCGCGCACACTGCGCGCAGAGAAAGGACGGTCGGCTGTGCCGCGGGATTGCCCTGACGGGAAGGAGACTGGGGCTCCAGACTGCTCTGAACGCCACCTCCAACTCCACTTCCAACTGAACTGAACCCCAATACCGGGCTCATTGGGGGAGAGCATAGACTGTTTGGCAGCAGGCGAAAATCGAGGGCACCTTTCTCTCAGAGGCGCCGGCAGCAGCGAGCACTGAAGGACCCGCATAGGGCGGGGCTGACAGAAGCCAAGGCTGTAGGCTCCACCCTGAAACCCCGTCCCATCTGTAACTGCGAAATGCGACAACAAAATAGATCACAAACGAAAGAAATGGAGGACAAAAAGCGTCTGGATATAGAGTTCAAATCTACGCTTACAAGGTTTTTCAAGAATTTCCTAGAAAAGATGGATAAGGCCTACGAGGATATGAAAAGAGATCAACTAGAATTAATAAGGAGTCAACAAGAAATAAAGAATACATTGTCTGAAATAAAAAATATTTTACAGAGTCCTAAAAACAGAAGGGAAGATCGCAAGAATCAAGTCAAAGATTTGGAACATAAAGAGCCAGAAGACACTCCTCCACAGAAGCTAGAAGGCAAGAGAATCCAGAAAATTGAAGATAATGTAAGAAACCTCTGGGACAACTTCAAGCGAACCAACATCAGAATTATGGGGGTCCCAGATGATGAGAGAGAGCAAGATATCGAAAACATACTGAAAGAAATAGTGATAGAAAACTTCCCCCATCTGGTGAAAGAATTAGACTTACAAGTCCAGGAAGCACACAGAACTCCAAACAAAAGGAATCCAAAGAGGACCACACCGAGACACATCATTATTAAAATTCCAAGAGCAAAAGACAAAGAGAGAATATTAAAAGAAGCAAGAGCAAAGAAGGTAGTAACCTATAAAGGAGCACCTATACGATTGTCAGCTGACTTCTCAACAGAAACCATGCAGGCCAGAAGGGAATGGCAAGAAATATTCAAGGTGATGAATAGCGAGAACCTACAGCCAAAAATAATCTACCCAGCAAAGCTATCACTCAGAATCGAAGGCCAGATAAAGAGCTTCACTAATAAAAAAAAGCTAATGGAGTTCATCACCACCAAACCAGAATTATATGAATTGCTGAAGGGGGTTCTTTCAGAAGAGAAGGTAAACAAAGATAAAAATTATGAACAACAAATACGTAACTATCAACAAGTGAATCTAAAAACCAAGGAAATTAAAAAAAAAATCTGATGAACAATATTAACTGTTGAATATAATAGAATCAGAGATATGGAAG